CAACGGATCGCAACCCTCAGTGTTGCCCCCGTACCGGACCGGGGACCGGCAACGGGATCACAACCCTCGGTGTTGCTCCCGCGCCTCGCTCAGCCAGTGAGCGGGAACCGGTCTGTATGTGGGATCCGAACCCTCGGGCGGGAGCGCCGCCGCGCTTCCCAAGCTGCGCACTTATCCAGTGCGCCACCGGGCTGGCCCCTTATGTGGAGTTTTTCATGTCTAGAGGCTGGCTTTTATTGACAAATGACTTATAGTTATTTAGACTTTAAGTTATATTAGCTTATAAAATAACAAATTTAAATACCTAGTTTTCATTAAGTTTTAAACTTCCATTTATAAATATTGGAATTTTTATTGGTATGTTTAGTATATATTTCATATAAAATGAGAACAACTTTGATAACCTCAAGATGACACAACAAATTTTACTCAAACATTCGGTCCCAGTTTTACTCATTCATTTTTATTAAACATTTCAACAGTACTTATAAATCTGATATATTTTATTTTCTTTAATTTTTCAACTGAGTTTTTATTGAGAAATTTGTAGGATCACATAACTGTGAGAAATAATACAAGGGATCTTCAAAAGGTTCATGGAAAGATTTGTATATTCCCATGAAATTTTTGAGGCATCTTTGTACAGAGAGATCCAGTGGACCCTTTACCCAGTTTCTCCCAATGATAACATCTTGCAAACTATAGTACAATAAATACCACAACCGAGATATTGACATCAATACAATCTACTAATCTTATTCAGATTTTTCCAGTTTTACTTGTACTGTGTGTATTCACTTCAATATAATTTTATCACATGTGTAGGTTCCTGTATCCACCACCACAGTCAAGATACAGAAACACAACACCTCCTGTAGTTCTTTTAATCAGTTCTGCCTCCCTCCTACCTCCTGTCCACTCTATCAATCTCCCTATACCCACCCCCAAAATGTTTCTTTTTCTTTTCTTTTCTTTTTTTGTCACTGGTAAGGTGATCGCGATCCTGAGTGAGCCATGGGGCTAGCCCACTGTTTCTAACCCCTGCAACCACTAATCTGTTCTCCATTTCTAAAATTTTGTCTTTTCAAAAAGTTTATATAAATGCAACAGACTAATGTTTTAGGATTGGATTTTTTTCACTAAGTTTTCAAATCTATGTGTGTAAAATTGTTTATAGTATTTCCTTCTATGCTTTTGATGTCTGTTGGGTCTGTAATGATATCTCCTGTTTCTTCACTGATAATGGTAATTTGTGTCTTCTCTCTTTTTTTTCTATGTCAGTTTTATTAGGGGTTTATCAATCTTATTGATCTTTTGAAAGAACCAGCTCTTTGTTTTATTGATTTTCAATTTCATTGATTTCTACTCTTTAATATTTTCTTCCTTCTGATTTCTTTGGGTTTATTTTGATCATTTTCTTTTGATTTGAGACTTTTCCTTTTGTTCTAATATATGCATTTAGTATTCTAAATTTTCCTCTCAGCACTGCTTACCTGTGTTCCATAAATTTTGACATGTACTATTTTTATTTTCGTTCCATTGAACATATTTCTTTATTTTGCTAGGCTGCACTCCCTCTGTGAAATATGTATTTCTTATTCATTGTATTAAACCTGTTCTCACCTTCTACTGTGACTCTGCTCTTGAATTCTTTCCTGTGGCAGAGTCAAGAACCTGGTTAAGAGGGCAGGGTGGGTTGAGGTTGACTACTGGGCACCCCCAGACCCTACCTTTGATGTTATTATTATACCTTCTTTTTTCTCTCATCACTCCAGCAGGGCAATGTGGGACATGACCTTCTTACTGTCAGGTGGAGGTTAGAGTCTAGGTTACACACTTGGCCTCCTTTGATACCTAAGATGGGGGCTCCTCATTACTGCTGGGTGAGCACGGGAGTTCTGTCTCCCACTAGACACTACATCCTTCCTGCCTGGGAAGGGTGGAAGCCTCAGTGCTGATCCTCATGTGTCCTCCACTGACACCACAAGTGTGGGTGGTCTTGAGATCTTTGTTTGGTAGTGAAAGTCCTACTATTCATTAAAGTCCTACTATTTATTAGGCCTTCACCCCAGTGAAGAAAAGGAAGGGTGCCTTGTCATTGCCAGGTGTAGGCGGAAATCCAGGTTCCCCAGGGGTCTCTACTGACATGGCAAGGTATGGGATTACTGCCTGGAGGGGATGAAAATCCCAGCTCCCTTCTTGGCTTTCTCCGACAGCATCTTGATGGAAAGGTTGTGGTGCCCATTATAACCCGGCAAGGGTGACAATCTAGGCTTCTCATCTGGCCTTTGCTCATGTGAGTGGGATGGTGTTTGGCTGGGGAAGAACGGTTATTGTTTCAATGTCTTCTGTCTTGCTGGGCTGGCCCTTTCCTGGTCCTCTGCCTAAAGAGAAAAGGCTTTTGTTGGGGTTTTGGTTTTTTGGTGTGTGTGTGTGCGTGCGTGCGTACATGCGTATGTGTGTGTGTGTGTTGGTCTGCATCCACTGACATTTCTGAGTTTCTAGATTCCATGAGCTCCAAGGGGATCTGAGGCTTAAAGAAAACCCAGGGAACTTGTGCTTTGTCATTCTTGGATCCTGGGGTCCCTAGCTGGCCTGCTTACTTCCCTTCACATTTCAGAGTCTTCTCATGTTTGCTTTATATAAAATGTTCAGGATTTTTAGTTGTATTTAATGGAAGGAATAGGGAAAAGTATGTTTAATCTATCTTCCCAGAAGTACTGATTTTTTCTTTTAAACACATCAGATAGATCACCCAGCAGGCTACGGGGCCAAACCTTCCTATGTGCTGTACTTAAACAACTTTTACTGATCTTAAACTATAATAAATCCAGTTCTCTTTAATATTATAATACTGTTTACAAACTTAGTCTAATTCTATCTCCCCATTTACAGTTGTAAGTCTGAGATCCATTTCACTTTTTAAATTGGAATCACCACCTAATGTGTTAGGTCGATTTTCTAGTACACCAAAACCATGTAAACATTTCAAGGACTTTAAATAACAAACATAAACGGGGTATTCTTAAACTTAACCTTTTGGGATTGAAAAGATACTTAAACACAAAGAGAATAGTTTGTCAGCTCAAGAAAACTGAGGTTACTGGGTGGACAATTCAATGCCTGTATTACCTTCTCAGGCAGGTCAGGATTGCCTGGAGCGAGGAGATGTGAGACTGGGACACAGACTCCAGAGCTGCAGGTGCCCAAGGTGATCCTGCCCATGGCAAGGGAAGTTGCACTGGGTTGTTATTTAGAGTCACTATGGCAGTGGGGAGCTCTAGGTCCATCCCTTCAGATGGGACCATTTACAACCCCATGCCCCCTGGATTCAATCCTTTCATAATTTTTCCATCATACCTCCATTCTATAGCACACACCCAGCCTGCTCCCCCCACTGATTGGATTCGCCTGATTTATTTAATTCCCGACTTCTGTGTCTGGCTATTGGCCACAGCATCAAGACGGTTCTAATGACAGTCTAAAGATGAAGAGCCTTACTTAATGTAGTGTTTAATAACAGTCAGGCTAGATCTGGATTTTGAGTCCCAGCTCTACTCTTTGTCACTGATGCCAAGGGATAAACCTCAGTTTATCCCCCTGCAATATGGGTAACAATGTTCATCTTTCGGATGGAAGGATTAAATGAGCGCAGTTTGTCTGTCAAGTTTTCGTAAACAGCAGTTTTCTTCATTTTCGTAAGCCTTTGCTTCATGTCGCTGATTTGCCGCGTTGTTGACTATGGTTTTTGCCACTTCCGTGATAACAAGATTACCTTTTGACATCTTCCCATGGCTCGCATAGTTCCATTTCATCTCAATCCATTGTCTATCCATTGAACAAGGAAATCAGGCTTTCTTTGGCTTCCTTGACAATGTGAAGCAATTATTAACTGGAATTTTCTTCTGTTTTCTCAAGAGAATCTTCCAAAATACCTTTGTCCTCTATCTCGTTCCTGCTACACTCTTTTCTTCTGCTGCTGCTGCTGTGGACATTCTGCATATCCTTTGTGCTGCTGTGGTTGTGTTGACTCATCTTTGAATAGGGACCATTCTATCCTCACCTGATATTTGCCCCCATACAGACTGGCCAGATGCACTTTGTTTTCCTTTCTCATTTGTCTAGGCACCCTAGATAACTTCCACCCCTGGAGCAGGCTGGATGCTATCACTTTTTTCCAGTTCAGCCTGTGAGTTCCCTGAAAAGGGACTCATGGGAAGCCCTCCTCTGAGAGCTTATTTGTACCATCTCTGTCTGAATTTATGGAACAATCTCTCTATCACAGACCAGCTCTAACGAGGTGGGGGCATGGCGTTTTTCCTGGGTTTGGGGTTTGTTCCTCCATCTCAGGGAGAGACAGCCACTTTGCGTTGGGCTCTTGTTTTTTGATCTGGCATGAATTTTCCTCCCAGGTCATGTCTTGTCCACAGCTGCTGAGTGGGCTTGCACTACTTGCAGTTGAGGAAGCCTGGTCAGTGAAACGATGCCACCGTGTAGCCTGCGCCCACTTCCAGCAGGCCAGCATGGAGTATGTGTGGGGCTGGTGGGGTCCGAATCCGGAATCGGAGGGGAGTCCCCCGTTCCTCCTTTGCCCCTAGGAGCTGGATGCCCTCCAGTCTGGGGGCAGGGGACCTGTTGGGTCTTCAGAATCTCCTCCCACAGCCATGCCCAGAAAGGAGACTTATGACTTGGATCCCTGAATTTTCTCTGCACATTGATTTGTCTTTATTCTAGGTCCTGCACCAAAACCTGTGTTGTAAGTGCTCTTGGCTCAGGGCTCTGCTTTGCTCTGGGCTTCTCCATTCAGGATGACCAAGGGCTTACATATTAACATCTTTCAGGGAACAGGAGGATTTCAAACGTGGTCTCCTAGATTATAATAGCTCATCCCACAGGCTGTCCAATGGCAGGAATTTCAAGCCCCATTTAAGGTGGGTGCTGGAATTATTTCTGGATGGAGCAAGGTAGTGTACGTTGGGGACCTGCAAATCACCGTGCTGATGGCAACCCAGCCTGGTTACCCACAAGGTCAGCAACCTTGTCAGTGACCCAGTGGAATGAATTAGACTTCTTTGTGGGGAGAAGAAGGGCAGTGATGGGCAAAGGGTGCTGAAATACTTTGTGCTCAGAAACGAATTTCCTCCTTATTCCACTGGTGGGTCCCAGGGAAGGACAATCGAGCGCTGCCACTACTTAGAATACAGTAGCCACTCAGAAGTGTTTGCTGAACTTAACTGATCCTAGAAAACATGCTGCTGTCATGGGAGAAAAACAGAGCCGACTTTGAAATCAGACCCATCTTTACTCAAAGCAAGACTCTAGAATTTACTATCTGTGCAACTTTGCACGAGTTATTTCACCTTTCTAGGTCTCGGTTTTCCTTGAATGTAATTCCCAGTCGCGTGGTTGTGGGAGAAGCGGTCACGTGCACGTCAGCGGCAGCGGCGCCCCCGCCCCGCCCCGCCCCGCACGGACGATCCCAGCACGCCCCGGGCCGTTGCTGCGATACCTCCCCCAGGACACGCGGTGGCGCTGCGGCCCCGCCGAGGCCCGGGCTTTCTCGCGCGTTCCTCATCGCTCAGGCTGGTGCGGACTCTGAGGGCGGCGGCGACGCGCGGGGCGGCCGCGGTGAGTGTGGCGGGACTGGGGGGCGACCGGCCCGGGCCTCTGGCTCCCTGTGGGGAGGGACGGCTGGGCCGCGCGGAGTAGGCCTCGGCCCCTGGAAGCCCGGGGTGCCCGGCGGCCGCGCAGCATCTGGCCCCGCCCGATGGGAGCGCCGAGCGGGAGCCAGGAGACCCCTCTCTGTCCATCGACTTGCCCGGGGGACCCCGGAACGTCACGTCCCCGCCTCCAAGCCCGTCTTCTCACTTGCCGATGGAGAGGCCTTGGCCCACAAGCTCTGTAAGGGGTTGCGGGTGGGCCCGGGGTCTGTGCCCTGATCGCGGCCCTGCCCCTCCCCTGCAGGCTGTCCCACCTGGCACCCTGGCCCTTCTCTGCTTGGACGGTGTTTTCCTCTCCCCAGCCGAGAATGACTTTGTCCACACCATCCAGGAGGAGCTGGACCGCTTCCTGCTGCAGAAGCAGCTGTCAAAGTAAGCTGGTGTGGACCACCTGTGCCCCTCCCCCAGGTGGTGCATCGCGGTAACTGGCTGGCAGCTGGCCCTTTAGTCTTGTCAACATCTGCCGTCGTCCTCTTCCACCTGCATCTTTTCTTCGTAATTCTGAGCATCACTCTGAGACTGCAGGGGACCTGCACGGGGCTGGGGACGGGACCAGTAGCTCCTTGTGATCATCCCTGTGTTTGGGCCCTTCGCAGTAGGCCTGAGACCCCGTGGGGCAGAGGAGTCTAGTGTTAAGCCACCATTAACCTGGGAGTGGACCTGGTAGGAAGCAGGCTCCAGGGCTGGACCTGGAGTCCCTGCTCAGCAGTCCTTTCGGTCCCTTCCCAGGGTCCTTCTCTTTCCCCCACTCTCCAGTCGCCTGCGGTACTTGATCCATAGGACAGCAGAGAATTTTGATCTCTTGAGCAGCTTCTCCGTTGGGGAGGGCTGCAAGAGGAGGACTGTCATCTGTCACCAGGACATCAGGTGTGTATCCTACCACTTTGGAGGGCTCTCAGCGGTTGCTTGTGAGTGGTCAGCCTCTGGGAGGGTAGAGCTGGGCAGGAACCAGGGCCAGGAGCCCTCAGGCTGCTTCCTGCATCCCTAGCCCCAGTTGCTTAAAGTCAGTGCTGCCCTTTGCTTCAGCAGTGGAGTAGACATGCATTGTTTATGGAACTCACTTGGCAAGTTCAGCTGTACTCTTTGGGCCAAGAGAGAGAGAGAGAGTCATGTAAGTAACGAGGGTGGGTCTGCCCAACATTTCTCTTGGTGAGCGTGTACCCCGGAGACACAGTGGCAGGGAGAAGCCCCTGGTGGGCCTTTGGTCATCTCTGTTCCCACATGCATCTCACAGAATGAGCATCTTATTATAATGATTATGACCCTAGTGTTTAAAGTTATGTGTTTTTCTATTATCGTAATTCCTAAATGCAAGTATTTATCTCACCTCGTGTGTAACCAAAGATTTAGCAATCTCTAATTTGATTTATGGCACTGGAGGGTAGGGGGCCGCTCTGGTTTTGAGTGTAATTTTGGCTCTCTATTTTGCCTAATGCTGACTTGAGAGCATCATGCCCGAATGACAGGTGGCTTCAGTCAACCATTTTCCTTTGGCCCCAAACACTCTCTGATGACCTCCTCCTGCTTCTGCTCCAGGGTACCCAGTTCAGATGGTCTTTCTGGCCCCTGCCACCCTCCTGCCTCCCACCCCGGCAAGTACCGTGGTCCCCGGCTCACCTCCAACCAGGGAGCGACTGCTGATCCCCAAGGCACGCGGGGCATCCGGTGGCATCGTGGACGCAAGCCAGACCAGCCTTTGTACGTGCCCCGGGTGCTGCGCAAGCAAGAAGAGTGGGCACCGACCTCTACCCCGGGGCTCAAGGGACTCACCTCCAACCAGGGAGCGACTGCTGATCCCCGAGGCACGCGGGGCATCCGGTGGCATCGTGGACGCAAGCCAGACCAGCCTTTGTATGTGCCCCGGGTGCTGCGCAAGCAAGAAGAGTGGGCACCGACCTCTACCCCGGGGCTCAAGGGAGAGGCCCCAGCTGGCAAGGTCCAGGAAGAGCCTGGAGATGTTGGCGCTGGGGACCCCAACTCTGATCAGGGAGTTCCTGTGTTGATGACTCAGGGAACAGAGGACCTACGGGGCCAAAGCTGTGACAATGAGCCACTGCCAGACCCCGTTGGCACTGAACCCCTGAGGCCCAAGTGCCACTCAGGGAAGGGAGACAGGGTAGAGACGGCCATGCAGCTTGGGTCCAACCTACAGCTGGCCCTGGAAGAAGGAAATGGGAGTCAGCAGGAGAAGAGTCTTGCGGCCGAGGAGGAAGAGGAAAAGGAAGAGGAGGTGGAGGAGGAGGGGCCCGGCAGCTGCTCTGACGACGATTACAGTGAGCTGCTACAAGAGGTGATGAGGCTCTTGAGCCCAGAAAAGGGAGGGCAGAAGTGAGGTGGGTGTGGCTGTGGGTGGAAGGGGACACGGGTCCTGGTGTGGCAGGCAGGCATGTGCTGGGTGAGACAGGGCTGGCTGCTGGGTGATGGGGTCCCTTAGGTGACATGGGGAGGAGTATGCATTTGGGTCACAGCTCAACTGTTTAGGAACTAGGTGACCCTGGGTAAGCCATTTTGCTTTTCTAAGTCTCAGTTTCCTCATATTAAGAAAAAAAAAATGATAGTATGTTCTTCACAAGGTAACATGAATGGAACGTATGTACAAGTGCCTCGTAATGCTCTACAGATGGTGGTCATGAGAATCACTCTTCTGCCTGGAGCTTGTCTTACAGATCTTGTTTCCTTGAAACTGTGTGTCTGCCCCTGAAACTGGTTGTGGGTTCAGTTGGGAGGGTGGGCATCTTTTATTGCTATTTTATACACGAAAAATGGAGACCAGAAAGACTTGCTTGATACCATGTTGTTAATAAGGGAAGGAAAGATCCTGGACTTCCCAGCTCTGTCTCTTACTGACTACAACTTGGGGCAAAATCACTTCCCTCTTCAGCTTCCTCATCTGTAAAGCAGGTGCAGTTGTCCTTTGGGATCCATGGGGGATTGGTTCCAGAACCTCCCACAGATACCCAAATCGGTGAATGCTCGTCTCTCATATAAAATGGTGTAATATTTGCATATAAGCTACATACATTCTCTCATATACTTTAAGTCATCTCTAGATTATTGAAAATACCTAATATAATGTAAATGCTGTGTAAATAGTTGTTAGACTGGACTTTTTTAGGGGAATAATGACCAAAAGTCCATGCATGTTCAGTACAGATGCAGTTTTCTTCCCCCCAATATTTTCAGTCTGTGGTTGGTTGAATCCACAGATGTGGAACCCATGGACATGGAGGGCCAACTGTATATAGAATGTAGTTTTTAGGATTATATGAAACATAATGTGTGTAAGTGCCAGTCATCTGGTGGGGACTCCATAAAAGTAAGCTCTTGCCCCTAAAACGCTTCCTGCTGGGCAGGGATTCCTCCTCCCTGCAGGACTCTCAGAGTGTGACTCAGTTGTTTGGAGGCTTGTGTGTCCCCTTGCTAAAGGGTCTTCTCTCTCCCAGATCACAGACAACTTGACTGAGAAGGACATTCAGATAGAGAGGGTCCACGTGGACACGTCCTCCTTCGTAGAGGAGCTGCCTGGAGAGAAGGACTTTGCCCATGTGGTGGAGATCTATGATTTTGAGCCAGCACTCAAGACCGAGGACCTCTTGGCAGAGTTTTCTGAGTTCCAGTAAGTGCCAGCAGGGCGGTGGGGGAGGCGTGGTGCTTGCCCTCTGAGAGGAGCCAGGATGCCCCTTTGTTGTTAGGGATGCTTGCCTGCCCCTGCCCCAGCACCTAATGCTCCAGAAAGAAAGGCAGAAAGTGGATGCGTTGCCTGAGCTCCGTGCTCCTGGTCAGTTCAGTTTGCTGACCATGACTGTGGGGAGGGAGAGAACTGATTTTTGGTTGTAGACACATTCTGGAGGCCCTGGACCTCGGCCAGCCCCTCTGCAGGGCCACATGCCTGTTGAGACCCCATAAGGCCCTCCATCAGTCTCCATCGGTGCCACCTCCCAGCCAGTTGTCTGTCAGTCCTCAGCAGGCCAAGGGCCATCCTGCTGCGGGAACTGTTTCTGGGTGAACCGGGTTGAGTACCCGGCAGGGCAGAGTGGTGGAGGGCGGGATGGGAGCCAGAGGGATGTATTGAGAGACAACACGTCCCTTCTCCTTGGTGTCCCCAAATGCCTTTTAGATCCAACTGCCTGTCTCCTCCTTTTTTCTTCTTTTTAAAAAATTCTCATTTTCCTTTCTCTACTTCTCTTTTCCTGCTTAGGCTTTTTAAAATCCCTTT